TAGAATAGAATAGAATAGAATAGAATAGAATAGAATAGAATAGAATAATAATAGGATAGGTTGGGATAGAAAAATAGAATAAAATAGAATAGAATAGAATAGAATAGATAATAGAAATAAAAATAATAGCAATAGCCCTTAGATTTATATACCGCTTCACAGTGCTTTCCAGCCCTCTCTAAGCAGTTTACAGAGTCAGCCTCTTGCCCCCCAACAATCTGGGTCCTCATTTTACCCACCTCAGAAGGACGGAAGGCTGAGTCAACCTTGAGCTAGTGAGATTTGCACTGCTAAACTGCTGGTAGCCAGCAGTCAGCAGAAGGAGCCTGCAGTACTGCAGTCTAACCAACTGCGCCACCACAGCTCAAAGATCTCTTCTCCATTCATGACTTCCAAGGTGAAAAGCCATTCTGCTGAGTGTGAGGAACACTTACAGATCACACTCTCCTGGATCACCCTGTATTTATTAACCAGAGGTTGAATGCATTAAAACTCTGGGTTAAATATAAATGGACCCACGTGTTTGTTAAGTATGGTTTACTGAATAAACTATACATGGTTAGGTTTGTACAAGAAGGCATAAACAATGACTCAACCATGTGCACAGATTCACAGAGTAATTAAAAAAATAACCATAAATGTGGCCAAAGTCTTGCAAAATTTCCATGTTTCTGAGATATGTGGTGAGAATGTTAATATCTTGCAAGATCTGCCCTAAGAGTTCAGCTTTGTTTATGTTGAAATGTTGGCCCTGCATTGTTGTGCAGAGTTGTGCAAAAGTTTCCAATGCCTGAAAATGTTTCCAATCCCTGCAATAAATCATACTTTAAAATCATAGTGACCGAGCTCTCACATTAAACAAAATACAAACCAGATTACATCTTGGGTAACATGAAGAGCCCAGCTTTGGCCTAGAAAGTCATTCTCGTGGGCAAGCAGATCACAGTTCAAATGATAGGCACATAGACATTCGGCCTCAGAAAGGAACAATAATAGTTTAAAACATTATTTCTCTGAGTTCAGAGATAAATTGTAGTTGTGAATGGTTCAAAGAGCAGTTGACTACATTTGTTCTTTTTACAAAACTTTGCAATTCCTCTTTAATTATCTGACGTGCACAAGGAACACTACCTGCTCCTTCTTCTCCTAACAGCTTTTTGAACTATTTCTCTGGAAAGCTTATAGGTATGATCTTTACTGATATAATTGAGTGAGGGAGCAAACCACTAAGAATGGTGCTCTTTCCACTCATTTCCACAAACTACAGAAACCAACAAAGAAAATTATGCTTTATTTATATTTATATTTCATATTCATATTTGGATGGATGGATGGATGGATGGATGGTGGGTGAATGAATGAATGAATGGATGCTCATCTCATCCAACAGGCCAGTGTGTCTCAACCTTGGGACCTTTAGGATGGGTGGACTTCAACTCTCAGAACAGCAGAGTGTTAAGAAACATTGCAATAGAAGTAAATTGCAAGCTGGTCAGATTCACTGGGCAAACTCAGCTGCAGTGATGGCAAACAAACAAGCAATTCTATTCTATTCTATTCTATTCTATTCTATTCTATTCTATTCTATTCTAGATAAAGATTCTATTCTATTTTATATAAAGATTCTATTCTGTTCTAT